TTCTTGTTTTGCAATAAGGAGGAGGAGCGGAAAGGAGGAGAAGAAGGGGGAAAGAGGAAGGGGGAGAAGGAGGAGGTGCTTGGGGGGGAGGCCGCGGGGAGCACTTGAGCTTCCAAAACAACAGATAGCAAACCATACACAGTCCTTCCTTGCATCCTAAACCCAAACAAATAACAACCCAACATACTCAGCGCGTCCTTGCTCCGAGGGCGCCAAACACTATGTGTTGTTGGCTTTCTTGCTTCGCAGCAAGGAGGAGGAAAAGGAACTGAGGAGAAGGAGGGGGAACGAGGAAGGGGGAGAAGGAAAAGGTGCTGGGGGGGAGGCCGCGGGGAGCACTTGAGCTTCCCAAGCCCCAAAAAACAGATAACCACAAGTACACAGTGTTTCCTTGCATCCTGGACAAAACAACAGAAACAACCAAACATACACAGCGTTTCCTTGCTCCGAGGGCGCCAAATTCGCATCACCATATGCAGTTATATGGTAAGAGAGAGATGCGGACGACCAGTGGGAAGCAGATGAGGGGGAGGATTGGATAAGAGAAGGGGAGGATGAATAAGAGGATGATTGTGAATGCGCTCAAAGATGAAATGTATGATCTTCGGGGGGAGTACCATGTCTATATGTATATGTATATTTGTAGGTGTGCATACGTATATACAAGCACACACATATATTCATATGTTCATATATGGATAGATGTGAATAGGTTGTATACATATGTATATTTACACACCAGACCCACGACCAGGACCATCGCTTGTCGCCTGGAGCTTTTGGGTATAGTCTACAGTTGTTCTGGCAGACCCAGCGTCCCCAGATACGCAACACCCAGCCCGTGGCATCGCTCGGACGTGTGCGTTGTTCCTGCGTTTGTCTGTTGTTCTCTCTCTCTCTCTCTCTCTCGGCGAGGCCCATCGAGGAGCATCTTGGATTATCTTGCGGAGGAAGCGACCGCGCGAAGCCAAAAGCTGCACCGAGAGTGTGCGTCAGAGCGATGCCTCGGGCGGGCGGTAATGCGGGGTGATTTTAAAAGGGAGGTGAAGAAATGCGCCCTTACTGAGCCCTTGAGGGTCCCCGTTGGGCCCTTGTCCCACCCCCCATTGAGGCCCCCCCCCCCCCCCCCCCGAATTTACCACCCGCCCGAAATTGATCTTGCGCGGAATCGAGGCCGTCTGGGGAGCGGCCTGGTTTTCTCAGCTGGCTCTCCTCCGCGGAGACGGCCGAGCTGTTCGGGCGTGCTCTGGCTTCTGTGGGACCCGGGGAGGCTCCTGGCCATCCCGCCTTCTCTCGGGGACGTGGGCCCAGACATCCAGCGGCCCAGACATCCAGCGGCTCGGCTTCCGGCCGCCTTCGTCGTCGGACGGGGATCTAGCATCGCGGCCTTCGGGGACGTCCTTCGCCCCCCTTCGGCCCACGGGTGGGCCTCTCGTGGCCACGGCGGGATGGCCTCTGGAGTTATGACCGGAACCCACCCCAGAATGGGCACTCCGAGTTTCTTAACAAGCGTCGGGGGGGGGGCGTCACCCCCGCCGACAGCCCCACATCGACCCCCGTCGCGGGCAGCCACCGCGCGCCAAAGGCGTTCCGACCCCCGTCGCGGCGCGACGACGAGGCGAGGCTGACCCCCGTCGGGGGGGTACCCCCCCGCGCTTATTAAGAAACCCAGAGTATGGGGGCGGGGATATTCCTGCTTTCTTATGCTGCTTCGCTCGGCTTGTTCTGTGGTGCAGACGCAAACGCATGGCGCCGCTGCCCACTTAACCAGCGCGAGAAGAAGGCTTTTGCTGGCGATCGGTTACTCTGCCAGCCCCTTCACTGGGAAACGATCAATGACAAGAACATAAAAACTCGGATGTCCGCGCGGATTTCTCGGATCTGCGTTGGGGCCTCCCGGCGGCGCCTCCGGCGCCGCCCCTGGCGCGCTCCGCGCGCCAGGGATGGGCGTCCAGCGCCGATGCGAGAATCTGCACGAACCTTCGAGTTGTTATGTTTATGTCATTCCTCGTTACCCTTTGCACCACATCTCCATAGCGCACGGGGGGCACTTGATGGTTCACCAGCGGCACCGTCGCCAGCTTGAGGGACACCAGCTTCAACATTTTGCATCCTCGGTATTTCGAGGCGGTACCGTCGCGCCCCCCCCCAGGGATCGGAGACACTTGGCGAGCACCAAACATCAGGCTGTCACAGGTCCGGCTCGGCGGCGGGGCTCTCGGGTACGGCGACGGCGACGATCGGGCCGGGCGAAAGGGGGGGATTGGGAAAGGGGGGGTTACGAAATTTGCTGCATGCAGCTGGTTCCGGCCTCACCGAGGGGCCCATTCCTCGATACATAGCCGCCTCCGGCGCCGGGAGGCGCCGGGGAAATCAGCTACGTGAGCTGATTTTCAAGCCCCCCCTTTGCTATCCCCTCCTTTCGCCCGACCCGAGACGACGGCGGCAGCGAGGACGACTCAACTAAGATATCGCCTCGTGGGGCTGCTGTGAACAGGATGATTTGCTCCTTCTCCTGCTCCTGCTCTCCTCCCCCCTCCTCCTCCGCCTTGACCTCCTTGTCCCCTCATTCGTTCACCTGCCACGCATGCTGGAGCCCCCGAGACAACACATTCAAAGAGGAGGAATCATACATCCAGGAATCAGGACCACACATCCGGGGATCATGCAGGGCCAGTAGGGGTCAGTCGCCATCTTCTCTTGAGATGGTTGAGAATCGAGGAGGGGTGAAGTCCGAATCCAGGGTTTCGTTGCGATTTTGGGAACTCCGGGTGGTCCTGGCGGGGCGTGGCCCGTCTTGGGGGCCCTTATCTATTTCCGTCTCGCCAGCAGGCGGTGACCCCCCACCCCAATGGCTCTCGGAGAGGAAGGTCCCCACGTCTGGCGGTCGGAGGCTTGAGAAGTCGAGGTGGCCGCCTTTGATTGGCAGTCAGGTTCCCAGCGTTTCGCGTGTCCCCACCAGCCCATCCAGGAACGATGCCCAGGCGAGCTGCCCTTATCGGGGGATCGTGGCAGCATCGGGATACCTCGGGGAGCCTCAGTGGGCCAGAGGCCCCTTGGATGCCTCCGTGGGTCTATGGGGGTGCCCTTTCGGGGCATGTTAGAAGCATCTAGAACGCCTCTTGGGGCCTCTTGGGGGCCTCTTGGGGGCCTCTTGAGGGCCGCTTGGGGGCTTCTTGGGGGCCTCCTGGGGGCCTCTCGGGGCATCTTTGTAGTCTCCTGGGGCCCTGTTTGAGCTCTCGGGTGCTTTTCCGAGAATCTCGGGGCCAGACTGGAAGCCAACGAGTAGAAACGGGGGCGGCGTGCAGTAGCCTCGCGCCCCCCCCTCCCCCCAGAAAGCCACCCATTGGCCCAAAGCCTAAGGAACATCAGCGTTGTCCACCTTCTCGCTGAGGCCATCCTGCACGATCTGAGCGCTCGCCCCCCCCCCCCCGCCCAGACCCAGTGGGAGGGAGTGTGGGGCACTGGTCAAGTTGCCATTCCCGCCCGCACGCCGCATCGCTCACTCCCACCCGCCCGCCCACTACATGGGCAGCACCCGAGCCTCAGCATGTTCAGCAGTCGTCTTTGGATGGACAGCTACCGAGAACCAGCACGGGCCCCATGCGCGCGACGTTGGGGCTAGGTGCGTCACGCGTGCCAGGCGCGCCACCCGCGCCAGGTGCGCCAGGCACCCCCAGGGCCCAAGGGTGGAAGGCACGCCTTTTGCGCAAGATGCACTACCTGCTCTTCCTCCGCCATGTGCGCCGCATGCTCCAGCCGCGCCAGGTGCGCCACGTTCGGACGTTCGGGGCATGCGCACAATGCGCCAGGTGCACCCGCGCCAATGACAGCACACATAGGCAACCTTGTAGGCCCTTCATCGTATCATCCTTGCTGAAAAACCATTGCGCAATCGCGGCGTGGTGGGTCAACATGCAGCAGGCAATATGCTGGCACCCCCGCCGTCCCTTCCAACAACCAATGGAACAGTAATCACGGAGTGGCCGCGCACGATCCAGATTTAGCCGCGTAGTGCACTTTCTATTGTTTTTGACAGGGATCGTGGCACTGCGCACAGCAGGCAATGTGCTGCCCTCCTCTGCCGTTCCTTCCGTCAGTCAATGGAACAGTGATCACGGAGTGGCCGCGCACGATCCAGATTTAGCCGCGCAGTGCATTTTGTGGTCTTGCTGTTGGTCCAGGTCGTGGCCCTGCGCACAGCAGGCAATATGCTGGCACCCCCGCCGTCCCTTCCAACAACCAATAGAACAGTGATCACGGGATGGCCGTGCATGATCCAGAGTTAGCCGCGCATGGGTCTTCGTTTTGAACGGACAGACCCCGCATCTATCCCTCCTTCCTTCCTCCTCCCCGTCCCTCCTCTTCTCATCACCAGCATCGTCACCCTCGTTTCGGCGCACCTCTCACACGCTTCGTGGCTCCATAGGAAGCTCCACGTAAGGCCACAGTGGCGCAGCCTGCATGTGGGCGACCCCCCCCGTTTCGGCGCCTTCCTCACACGTTTCGTTACCCACGTAAGGTCACAGTGGCGCAGCCCACATGCGGGCGACCTCCACCTAAGGCCCCAGTGGCGCAGTCCCCATGTGGGCGACACCCCTATTTCGGCACACGCCTCACACGTTCCATGGCCCCATAAGGAGTTCCATCCAAGGCCAAGTGGCGCAGCCCACATGTGGGCGAAACCCCCATTTCGGCGCACCCCTCACACGCTACGTGGCCCCATAGGGAGCCCCATGTGGATGGCGCGGAGGAGGAGGAGGAGGAGGAGGAGGAGGAGGAGGAGGAGGAGAAGGAGGACAGACCCCTGACGAGTCGGTATGTTCGAGCCTCTGGGTCCCAGTCATCTCGATCCATTCCTTGGGACAGGATTTTCGTCTCGAGTATTTTTGTTGACTGCCCTTGGGCCCAGATGCGGCTTCGAAGGGCCGCGAGACTCGAGGAAGGCCTCTGTCTCAGCATGTTCAAGTCTCTGGGGGATTGGGTCTGCGCCCCGCAAGGAGGAGGAGGTCGCGGAGATCACGCGGCTGATCCGCGCACAGATGGCCATCTTCGCCCGCAGTTTGAGCGGATCTGACCCCAGCGGTATCTCCTCTGCTGCACCGGCGGGCCGGCGCGCGCGTCCCACCGACTCCAGAGCTCGGCGGTCAAGCCTCCCACTCCTCCCAGGCCCCTTCGCGTAATGACCCGATTTCGCTGGCGAGGGACGGTATACATCAGCCTTGCGAAGGACCCAACCATATGCAGTTGTGACTACCGCAGTTGTAGTTATCGTCTTCGGTGGAGCCTCCTTATAGGGCCACGAACCGCTGTGCTGGTCGGGGGAGACGCATGCAGACTGCGACACTGGGACCTTCGGTGGAGCTCCCTATGGGGGGCCACGGAACGCTGTACTGGGCGGGGGAGACGCATGCGGGCTGCGACACTGGGACCTTCGGTGGAGCTCCCTATGGGGGGGCCACGAAACGATGTACTGGGCGGGGGAGACGCATGTGAGCTGCGACACTGGGACCTTCGGTGGAGCTCCTTGTAGGACCACGAAACGATGTACTGTGTGGGGAAGACGCATGCGGGCTGCGACACTGGTACCTTCGGTGGAGTTCCCTATGGAAGGCAACGAAACGCTGTACTGGGTGGGAGAAACGCATGCGGGCTGCGACACTGGTACCTTCGGTGGAGCTCCCGATGGGGGGCCACGAAACGCTGTACTGGGTGGGGGAGACGCATGCGGGCTGCGACACTGGGACCTTCGGTGGAGCTCCCTCTGGGGGGCCACGAAGCGATGTACTGGGTGGGGGGGACGCATGCGGGCTGCTCAAGTGAGACCTTCGGTGAAGCTCCCTATGCGGCCACGAGACGTGTGATGGGGGGGGAAGGTAGGAGGGAGGAGGGGGAGGAGGCGGAGAACCCAACACCACAGGATGTTTTAAACATAGACTGTTCCGCCGTCGGGGGCGCCTGCCACCCAGGCAGCCGAAAAGGTGATGGCCCTACGTGGCACCGCAGGTGTGTAAACTCCCCCCCACCGGGCCATGGGACCGTCAAGAGACGACTTAGGATGAGAGGCCAACTTTGATGGGCCTGTTTTCCACCACCACCACCACCATAAGTTGGAGGAGGAGGTTGGAGGGGGGAGGGAGGGGGAAGTAGGAGGGGGGAAGAAGACCCCCTCCCCCTCCAACCTATGGTGGTGGTGGTGGAAAGCAAGCACATCAAACCTGGGGGAACAAGTCGGGATGGGGGGGGGGGGGGGGGGCATCGAAAAGTCAAGACCTCGGAGGGCTGGGCCCTCCCACCTCCCCCCCCTGAGATGCCCACCGTACTGCAGAGGTTGCCCCCCCACTGGCCAAGGGAGGACTGGACGCTTGCCTGTACCGGCCTGAAGGCATCCCTGTTTCCAGGCCTCCCAGCTGAAATAAGACGAACCGTCCTTGGCGACATGCGCTCCTCCTCCTCCTCCTCCTCCTCCTCCTCCTCCTTCTCGTCCTCTCGTCCTCCTCCTTCCGTGCCGTACGGCACGGCACACCAGGCACCTTCAGGACAAGGGGCAGGTCTCGTTGATCCAAGCCGTGTCTTCGGCGATCCCCCGGCCACGAGCCCCCCCCGTCGGCCCGACGCGAGGGGCGGCTGAAGCCAACCGTGAGGCGCCCTCGGCTCGACGTGAGGCGTTCCAGAAAGGGCCGCGCCTTCCAGGATCGACGGAGCTGCCATGTATTCTTGGGCGGAAGGCGACGCAGGCAGAACGAGGCCGCCTGCACTGGCAGAAGGCCAGCGTGGAGCGGCGGAAACACAAGATACGCCCCCAAGATGGCAACATTGTTAGGCTCGGCTCGGGGGTTTCTGGAGCCGGCCACGCGAATTGGCTCTGCTGGGGCTGGTGCGCGTTCTTCCTGGCCGTGGATTCCGACGGTCCGACGGACTCTCGCGGGGTGCTGAAGCCTTCGCAGGAGAAGCGACGGCATCAGCATGGATTTCTGGCTCGCGCCGGTGTTTCCTGTCGCTCCCCACCCCCCCCTCCCCGCCACGCTCTCCCAGGCGTTCCCCGCAAGCCGAGCTCGCAAGATCGTCGCCCCGCGCCGCAAAGACCAGGGGGGTGTGCGGGGGGGGGGGCGCGCGGCGCCTCCCCCCCCCCCCGTCGACGCGCGGGGCCGCGCCCGGGCAGGCATCCGCACGGCAGGGCAGGGGGGGGGCTGGGGGGGCTGCGCGCCGCGCGCGCGACTCGACGTGTTCGCCGCAGCCTGGCATGAGGTCGGGCGTGTCCCTCCGCAGGAGGAGCATTCAAAAGTGGTCAAAACAACATTGTCGGGGACGATGTTCTTCTGATTGTTATTGTTTGACCAGTTTGGGGGTATTGTTTGACTATCTCTTATTGTTCCTCAAACAATTGCCCCACCTAGCCTTAACAGGCATAGAGCCGTTGAGCCGTATAGCAGTGGGGGGAAGGGGGGGGTGGAGCGCCGCGCCCCTTTCGGGACCCCCCTGGCCCTCCAGACGACCCAGGGGGCCGACCCGGAATTGTCGCCCCGCCATGGGCCGAGCTCCCTTGCTCGCTGTGCTGAGTGGAACCAGGCCGGCGAAACCATCTGTTGTATTCGCCCCCCCAACTCCCCCGACCTGTCGTTAGTCACTTGCTCCCCGGAGCGCGCCAGTTTTCGCGAAGCGGGAGGTGGAGGGAGGATGGCTGCAGGGGCAAGATGACGCTGAGGATGCGCGTGGGACGGAGGAGGAGGAGGACGAGGGGTGGGGCAGGAGGAGGACAACGGCCAGTACGAGAACGACGCAGGAGGGGAAGAAGGAGGAGCAGGGAGGGGAGGGAGGAGGGAGGAGCAGAGGCAGGAGGGGGAGGTGGGAGAAGCAGGAGCGACAGCAGCAGGCGCCAGGAGGGTGAGAAGTCGGAGGCGGAGCACAGTGGGTGCTCCTGCCAAGAAGCACCCTGCTTGCCTCCAGGGGGCGCTGGGTTTCTTCTTGGGTTTCGATGGTTTTGCGATGGAAGGCGCGACGCTCCCACACCAAAAAGCAATGGGCGCCCTGGGGTCTCAGGGTTGGGTTTATTGTGGGAGGTTTCTTGTGGGCGGACCTCCACTGTAGGAGATGATGAGGTCTAAATATTATGAGGTCGCTCCACCCACCCAATCTCCAGCGGCTGCCTGAGGCGTGCAGCAGCAGGTGGCCGAGATGGCGACCGCGCTGTCTGGAAGGACGGAGGAGCTCAGAGACCTGATCAGGCGAGCCTGCGCTCGTCTCCGCTTTCTTGTCTTCCGCACATCCCATGCCTTTTGGGCGACGTGATTTCCGCAATGACGGCGCTTGTTCCCCAACCCTCGATTTATGCTGTTCCAACATATTTTAGCCTTGATCACCAGAAAGCATTTCTAGCACCAGGGAGGTACCGAAACAGGAAGGTTTTCACGCGCCGGGCCCGGGGAGGCAATGCTCGCTCGACACCGTTTCGATGCTTTTCCGGGTGCTCGAGATCATTTCTGGGAGGTGGCCCTCGAGCACGCTGGGAGCCACATTCGGGTCGGGCGAAAGGGGGGGGTTGGGAAAGGGGGGGTTCCGAAATCTGCTGCATGCAGCTGGTTTCGGCCCGACCGAGGGGCCCATTCCTCGATACACGGGCGCCTCCCGACGCCGGGAGGCGCCGGGAAAATCAGCTACGTGAGCTGATTCTCAACCCCCCCTTTGCTATCCCCCCCTTTCGCCCGATCCGAAACATGGTCCTCGGCCCTGGAGACCGAGGACGGAGACAACCTCGGGCACACGGGCAGCAGCTCAGAGAGCGGCAGCTTCCCGTGGGAAGGGGTCGAGAGGCCGGGGGCCCACGCCGCGAGAGGGAGCATCGGGACTTCGCACGCCCGGGCCGTTCGGCCGTATGCTTCTCCCCGTCCCGTCTGGCACCCTCCCCCGCTGCTGCCCGTCTGCCTTCTCGCCCTCCGACGCTCGACGTCCTCCCCTCTCGTCCTCCGTCCTGCTTCTCCGTCGCCCCTCTCTCTCGCTCGCACCTCGTTATCCTCATGCTGCTCCTCCTGCTCGTGCTGCTCAACCTCCTTTTCCTCATCCCCCTCGGCTCCTCACCCATCACGTTTCCCCTCCCCCCCCCCGCCTCATGAACGCATACAGACCGTACTCCGAGCCATTCAACGGGCCACGGTCATTCGCATCAGCTTGAATGTCTGCAGATTGTCATCACTTCCCCCATGTTGTTTCTATCCCCGCCACCCCACTCCTCTTCCTCCTCCTCCTCCTCCTCCTCCTCGTCCTCCTCCTCGTCATCATCATCATCCATCATCAGCACCATCTTTCATGATGGTCATCATCATCATCATCATCATCATCATCATCATCATCATCATCATCATCATCATCATCCTCATCCTCATCATCATCATCATCAGCATCATCCTCATCATCATCATCATCCTCATCATCATCATCATCATCATCATCATCATCATCATCACCCTCAGCAACAACAACATCATCATCCATCATCATCAGCAGCAGCATCACAATCATCATCATCATCATCATCATCAGCATAATTTCCATCATCACCATCATCACTATCTCCATCACCATCATCATCACCACCATCATCATCAGCAGCAGCATCATCACCATCATCATCATCAGCATCAGCATCAGCAGCAGCAGCATCATCACCATCTTCCATCGACCTGCGCTCATCAAGCAGCATCGCGGTCAGCCCCCGTCGCCAGCGTGCACGGGGAGGCGGGCCTCAGGACCCGGGCGGCGCCGCGGCGAGGGCACCTTTTGCCCGGGCCAGCGGCGCCGGGCCCCGGGACACGAGACGAGAGCACGACCGCTGAGCCCGGGGCCCGGAGGGCTCGAGGAGGCGGCCTCGGGAGCCTCGAGGCGGGGGTCAGTGCAGACGGGGGTCAGCCAGAGCTCAGAGGCGACGATAGGGGCGAATAGCCCAGGGGAGAGCAACCCATGTACTGAGGTGCGCCGATGATCTATGCCTTCGAAAAGGCTCCATGCGAATGCGTGTAATGCCCGCCCCTGGGCTATCCGCCCCTCTTGTCGCCGCCGAAGAGCGCCCGACCCATCTACGGGGGAAAAGGGCCTCCATGTGCTGCAGGCTATGTGGTGTAAGGCATGGGGTGCAAGCTACGTGATGCAAGCCATGCGGCCGCCCGGCGCCCACGGCACCGGGCGAAGCCTCGGCGAACGCACCCAGCGCACGGGGCGCCCACGTGGCGCCCACCATGCGGAGGCTCTGCTGACCTACCCAGCTCCGCAGGGGACCAAAGCAAGACCCCCCCAGCGGCACGCTCTGTGTGCAGGGGGGGGGGGGGGGGGAACAGGCGGCGCAGACGCAGGCGTTCGGAGGTACGCGCAGCTTTCTCGGGGGGGCACTGTGCCCCCGCTGTCCACGCTCAGCCACGCGCAGGGGGGGGGTGGGGTAGGGTGGAGGGCTTCTTAGAAGCACCCCCCTTGCTGCTTCGAAGGCGCGGGCCTTGCCTGTGGATGGATGCAGGGCCCGCAGCTTCTCAGAAGCCGCCTCCTTGTAAGAAGCCTGCCCCCCTCCCCCTGCAGCCGGCACGAGGATCAAGAAGAGGCATCGTTTTTGAAGGGGGTGCCCTCACGCTCTGCGCCGTTGGGCCCTCCACCCTGGCATGCCCTGTGTGTGTTTCGGATATCTCCATAGGGGGCTTCGGCTCTCGGCGAAGGTGTCCATGTTTTTGACCCACGTTCTTGTAAGATTGCGTCATGTTGCTCCCATCGACTTAAGGACCACATCCCAGAAGTAAGTTCGAGCACCCGGAAACGTGCCGAAACAGTGTCGAAACAGTGTCGGACGAGTGTCTTCCAGGGCCCGACACGTGTAAACCCTAAAGGTTCGGTATTGTCTTGGTGCTCGACATTCCTCCTGGTGGTCAAGGCTAAAGCAGGCTGGAACAGCATAACCCTTGTCTTAAGTCGGGCCTGTCCCTCTACAGGGGGAAGATTCCAAGATAGTCCAAACATAGCCTGGGGACTATTTGTTTAGCATTTTCTGACCATGTGGGAGTTTTTGTTTGAGTTTTCTTTTTTTTTCTTCGAAAATCCACCTGCAGGGGGACACGCCCGACCTAAACCTGGTTTCGACTGTGTCCCCTTTCTGCGCGCCTCCAGCCGCCGGCACGCCACGGGCGAAGCGCCCCCTGCCCCGACCCCGGGCGCGCTCCGCCCGCCGAGGCGTGAGGGGGGCGAGGGGGGGAGGGGGGGGGGGGGAGGGGGAGAGGGGGGAGGGGGGAGAGGGGGGGAGGGGGGGGGAGGGGGGTGGGGAGGGGGAGGGGGAGGGGGAGGGGGGAGGAGGAGGAGGAGGAGGAGGAGGAGGAGGAGGAGGAGGAGGAGGAGGAGGAGGAGGAGGACGGGGAGGAGGACGGGGAGGTGGGCCGAGTGCCGACCCGAGACGTCCGCGCCGAGTCTTCGAGGAGAGCTGTACGCTCCCGCGTGCTCTCTACGGGCGCAATTGGCTCCCCCCGGGGAAGTGCTTGCGGGCAGGGCTCCAGAGGAGGAAGAGGTACTGATACCGCTACCCTTCCCACGTCCGCGCCTTGTTGGGCCTCCTCGGAGGCTCTCGTCGCCACCGCTGGATTCGCCTCGAAATGCTGGTCAGAACCCACTCCGGGAGAGGTCCTTACGACTTGTGTCCTTCTCCATTGCCTCTTGGAGTTTCAGGCTCCCTTCTCCAGAAGAGCAAGGCGCACTGGACGTGGACAACCATCTGGCCCCTAGAGGCCCTTCTCCTCTCCCATTGTCGGGCCCTTCCCCTTCCTCCTCGTCCTCCTGGTGCTGCGTTCTTTTCCGTCCTCTCACTCTCTCCCCCTCCAAGCCTTAGTTTGCGGGGCCTGCTCTTCCTGCCCCCGCGGTCAGCCCGCACCACCAGGATGAGCGTCCTTCCCCTTCGGCCCATCCTTGGCCGCTTCCGCTGGCCGCGCCCCGCTCGCAACACGCCCACGTGGCCTTCCACGGCCCTGCATCCTTCCCGCGCATTCTTGCTGTGTAGGTTGACGCAAGGGAGGAAAAACCATCCGGACCGGACAGTTGGCGTTTACTAAACGGCCTTGGGCGTTTACTAAATAGCCTTTCCTTGTTCGATTCCCTCAGTGGGGGCGTTCAGTAAACGTCTTCGCGTGTCGGGTTGGTTATTATTAGAGGGGATATGTTGCCCCCTATTGACTGTACGCCGCCGCATCCCCCGGAGCAGGACCCAGTCTAAGCTTAAGTCGGGCATGTCCCTCTACAGGGGGGATATTCAAAAATCGTCAAACAAAAAGTCTGGGGAGGATTTGTGTTGCGTATGTTTGACTTTTGTTTAGCATTTGTTGCGTATTTGTCCTTATTTGTTTCGCCCAAAATCCCCCTGTAGGGGGACATGCCCGACATAAGTCAATCGTGCTCATGTCTAATTGTGCTCGTTTCTAATTGTTCCTGGCCCCCTAGTGGCCAGGAAGAGGCCGAGGATAGAACAATTAGAAATGAAAGGACCTTGGCCCCCAGAAAATCAAATAAACCTCGAATAATTAGTCATGAACATGAACAAAGTGTGCGCCGCCGCATCCCCTGGAGCAGGATCCAGTCTAAGCGCATCCATCCCACGGGGTGCATACCCGAGTGCCTCCCTGGCGCTGACCACGCGCGCTGCGCAGGCGGCGCGCTTCCGCAGCGGGGTGGCAAGGGCGGGCCATTCTCTTGGGGCGGGGCTCTCGGCTGGACGCCGCGAGCACGTGGACTGCAACGAGGCCTGCGACACCTGCACGAACGGAGGGCCATGCCGCTTTCGCAACCCAGAGATCGAACGCACTGAAAAGATCAAGACGGTTTTTTTTTCACAGGATGAAAAAATCCGGTCCCAGGGAATGGGTCGAGACTTCCGGGGACCCCGTATTGAACAAATCACGACATCGGATCTCTGGGAATGCAGCACTGGCTTGGTGGCCGCGCACATTCGCCTTGCCCATCGGTCGTTGAACGTGGGGGTGCTTCTGGAGTCCAGATCCCAGTCTACTTCCAGTGCCTTCCCGCTTCAATGGCCGAGCGTTTTTCCTTCTTCGTTCCTCTTCGGGGGGCGGGCGGGAGTCCAATCTACTTTCACCGCCTTCCTACTTCATGCTTCTAGCCAATTCTTCCGAACGCTTCCAGCAGCTGCACAGATGGAGGTCGTCTCCGTGATTCCAATAACATTGTATCGTAAAGGCCATGAGCAGTACAGATACGGAGGGCGGCTCCTTGCCAAAGCACGGCTTCCCTCTGGATAGCATGTCATGTGATTTGTTCTGAAGCGTGGATTTCCGATTGCTTCTCGGATCGAGGGCTGTCTTTTTTTCAACATTAGCGATTTCTCTTCAGGCAGACGCTGCGATCAGAAAATTCTCCGGACAGTTCCAACAAATACACGGGTGGAGGACGGCTTCTTTTCTAAATTCGGGCATCGAAAGAAGTTTCCCGTGGACATCATGTCTCGAAATCGTCACTCGTCCGACAGTTCCATGGATAGCGGGCGGCTCATTCTCAAGCTCGTGCATTCGCTATGGCGCACCGTGGAGTGTGAGGAAACATCCGACCAGTTAGTTTGATAAAGCGACTCCCTGTCAAGCCGCTGTGCTTCGCAGCGCTACGTGGCGCAGTCTCAACATTACCGTTGATGTGCGCTTCAGGGCACATAAGTCTCTTATCTTGTAGGTCCATGAGGCGTGTACACTTCTGGGGGTTGTTACGCGTTGCGGCAGGGAGAGATTCCATTGGCTTAGCAGGACAAGTTTTTTGCACGGGAGGCAGCATTGCAGCATGAGTGACGCGCACTGGGTTTCTTCCGATTGCGATCCTCCTCGATGCCCCGACGGCGACGACGACGCGTGCCGCTCAAGAGAAGTCCCTGGGTGGGATCCCCGGACACAGTTCTGAGCAGTTCTTCGAGATGCGCCCAGCCGTGGCCAGTGGGCACCCCAAGGAGGCCCAAAGAACCAACAAAAACGCTTGGACGACGTCGACGCATCCGACGACGACGACGACGACGACGACCCCGCGACCTCTCCTGGGGTGCGGTCCACAGCGGCCGCGGGAGCTCCCCGGCGAGGCCCAAGAGCGCCCGGGGTCCGCGACGACCGCGGAGTCTGCCGCGGCGGCGGCAGCGGCCTCTGCGGCGGCGGCGGCGGCGGCGGCGGCGAGGCAGGAGCTCCGCAGCCAGCGCGCGGGCCTCGCCGACCCGCGGCTTGCGGCGGCGCAGGACGCCCAGGCCACGGCGGGGGGAGGGCTCGGCCGGGCGGGCGGGCGCTCGCGCGTCGCCTCCTGCGGCGCCTCCCGCCTCGGTGCGCGTCCTCCCCTCCTCCTTCCTCCTCCATCTCCTTCCCGCCTCCCTTGCTCCCTCCCTTGGCCAAGATCCTTGCTCTCTCCATCCTCTTCGCATTACTTGTTTCTGGCAAGAATGACCCTTGCCCAATATCCGTCCTCTAACTCTCTCTCGCTCTCTCTCTCTCTCTCTCCTCTTCCTTATTTCTCTCTCTCTCTCTCTCTCTTTCTCTCCTCTCTTTCTCTCTTTTGTTGACTCTCTCTCTCTCGCTCCCCCTCTCTCTCTCTCTCTCTTATTTTTGCACACCATGGCGATCTCACACCTATCCTAAGCAGGTGCGTGGGGGGTAGTCTTAACCCCTATCAGGCGTGGCCTCTGCACAGTCGCGCCTCTCCTGGCGTCCGTCCGCCATGTCTCCGGCCAGGCTGAGCGGATTCGACCACGCGACAGCACGTGGCACTTTCCTAGCGCATTGGGTGTGGACTCTTCTTCCCATCTTGCCTCTTACCATAGTTTTCTTCCATGCCCCTTTCTATTGTAATGTCACACCTTCCCTCGGAGGTCTCTGGGAGATTGCGGCGTCCCCCAGGAAATGGCCTCTGCATGGCCCCGCCTCCTCCGGCTCCTATGCGCCAGGCCCTCTGCGCGCGAGTTTTCCCGCGCAGCTTTTGTCCAGAGTCAAACGCAGGCCTCGACTCCCAGGCCTCGCACAACTTTCTTCTTAGGCATCCTCTTTTCGGTCGTGGGCCCTTGTGTTGCCCCCTCCACTTGCTCGTTTCTCTACTGAGCGGTATCTCTCGTTGTCCCCACCCCCCCCTCGCTTTGATCAACAGGGCCACAAGGCCCCACTCTTTGCTGCCTCTCCGGACACCTTTTGACGCACCATCGGGGCACAACGGGACATGGTCTGACTACACCAGACAGCCGCCTTGTGTCCGAGGCTAGTCCTACTGTGGCCTCTGCGCGTCGGCGAGTGCACGTCTCGGCGCCAGCTGCTGCAGACATCCGCTGGCGATTTGCCCTGTATCGCCTTTGCCCCCCTCCTCCATCTTGTTATCGAATCTTCCCCTTCACCCCTACCGCTCTCGCAGCAACCACCGCATGTTGGAGGATCTTTCACACTGGCTTCCGCATGCGAGGGCGCACGCGTGCCGCCCTGTCCTGGTAGCCAGAGGTGCGTGGCACCCTTCCACGCGTCCTTCAGCGCAATGACGGCCTATAGTTGTCGTAACGCCAGGGTGAGTCCAAGAGTCCCTCCCGCCCTCCCTCCCCCCTCCTCCATCTCCCCCATCCCGTCTCCTCCCTCCCTTCCTCCTCCCTCGTCGTTCTCCTCCTCCTCCTCCTCCTCCTCCTCTTCCTCCTCCCCATCCTCCTCCTCCTCCTCCTCCTCCTCTTCCTTTCGGCCTAGGGACTTCGAGGCAACGTTCGGACCCTGAGCAGTCCATCGCTGCCGCGGCGGGCGCCGACGCATTCTTTCATTCCCGAATCCAATCGTTCCCCCTTCCCCTCCCATCCTTCCCTTTTCTCCTCCCTTTCCCTTCCCCCCCTTCCCCCCCTCCCTCCCCCTTTCCCCCTTCCCCCCTTTCCCCTCCCTCCCTCCCCCTCCCCCCCTCTCCCCCCCCCCGCCACGTCACCGCACTTCTGTCGCAGACGTCGTGCGTCCAGGCTCGGCGCGCCCAATCGCTTGCACAGGCAAGGAGACGCGCGCGAGAAGCAAAGGGGAGGGAAGGGGGCAACGGGTAGGAAGGAAGTTTGCTGGAGGGCACCCCGAGCTTCTTTCTGAGCTTCTGAGCGTCGTGAGGGCGTCCCCCCCGCCGACAGCCAGCCCTGCATCGACCCCCGTCGCGGACAGCCACCGCGCGCCGAAGGCGCTCCGACCCCCGTCGCGGCGCGACGACGAGGCGAGGTTGCCCCCCGTTGGGGGGTACCCCCCCTGCGCTTATTAAGAAACCCAGAGTAGGTGGAGGACTGGTGGACATCAACGTACGCTCAGATGGGGGGGGGGGCACGACTGGTCCGACACTGCGTCTCTGTCAGCGCACGTCTGCTGTGTTTTTGCGCCTCTGTCGCTGTGGCCTTGTGGGCGACGAGACGTACATAGCCATAAAACCTTCTGATTCCTTCAGCCGGCAGCCAGGTACCGATTTCAGCGTTGCACGTTGCAGAGATCACACGAATCGCATGGTTCCTCCTTCTCCTCATCATCTTCCTCCTCCTCCTCTTCCTCCTCTCTCTCCCTCTCTCCCTCCTCCGCTCCCCTGCCTCCTCCTCCCATAACAGCTTGTCCTTCTTCTCCTCCCTCCCTCTCTGCCTCCCTCCCTCTCTTCCTCCCTCCCTCCCCTTGCCCCTCCCTTCCCTTCCCCCCAGGCCGCGCTGGTCCCGCGCGTGCAGGAGCTTGAGCAGGCTATTGCGGGCGCGCGCGGAGGGGGGGAAGGGGTCGCGGGCGGCCTTCGAGGAAACGAGGGGACGCGGGGTCGAGGAGGGCGAGGATCGGATCGACTCGGCAGGAGGAAGCGTCAAGCCCCATAGCGCCGTCTGGCCCCCCTCCTTTCGGGGGGAGGGGGGCACAAGCCCGCCCTGCCTGGCGGGCGAAAACCCCCCAGGCCCTACTCTGGGGGGACGCGGGCGGCCCTCGAGGTAGAGATGGGGGGGGGTCGAGGATGATCACGAGGGAGAAGGGTGCAGTCGAAACCGACGGTAGGGATGGGTGACCTTCCCAGGGGTAGTCTTGCCTCCGTGCCGTCATGGGCCGCCCGTGACCCCTTCAGATGGCCCGCCGCGTTCGAACGACGGGCGTCCAAGGGGCTTACATCCCTATTCCTAAAGCATCCTTGCTACCACTTTTGACTGCACACGCATCAGACATCTTACGAAAAGGCAGCGGCTTTCATGAACTCCAGATGCCGCTTAAGAACATCAGCATTATGGGCTGGACCCTTGTCGTTGCCCCTGAGCTGTTGTTGCCAGTTGAAGGTTCGTATCGCTGGACCTGGGCTACTATCTGAAGACTCGCGTGGAGTGAAGTCTATTTTCTTAGCCTAGCGTTCTCTTTACTCTAAGTAGGGGATGTCACGACAACGCGCGTCGTGGCACACAAGACTTGAGTGCTGGCGCAAGTCCGCCAAGGAATCGCTGGCAACAGCAGCCCGCCTCCTGCCGCGTTCACAGGCAGCAAGACCCGGAAGCATCGGAGCCGCCACGGGCCATCGCGAGCAGGATGGGCCAAGATGGGGGGGGCCTGAGCCAAAACGGCCACAGACAGTGGGGCAGGCTGGGGAGGGAGGGAAGGAGGGAAGGAAAGGAGGAGGAGCAGGAGGAGGGAAGGCAGGAGGAGGAGGAGGAAGAAAAGTAGGAGGAGGAGGAAGAACAGTAGCAGGAGGAGGAGGAGGGGGGCGAGCCACAGGATGCGGAAGAGAAGCTGATGACGACACGAATAATAAGAAGAAAACGAATAGTTAAATGGTAAGACTAATGAGACAACGATGAGGAAGATGCGGTAGCTTACTATTACCTGTTCTAAACAATCAAATCAATAAGAAGAGTAGCGATAATGATAATGATACTTCGAATCATATTATTCGGACTCGTAGTATTAGTATAATGAGGATACGTGGGGAAATAGTGATTGGAATCGTAGCATGACCAATCACACGAATATTAATGGTATCAATAATAGTAAGCAGAACTATGATAGTCATAACACTAATCAGAAGCGTGGTGCGAAGACAAATAATATTGATGATAGGAAGTATATTACCAACAATCTCAGTCGTAATCCTGCGAAAAATTATACACACCAAAAGAGATAACGGTAACAGGAGGAGGGGCAAGAGGAGCAGCAGGAGGAGGAGGAGGAGGAGGAAGAGAGAGTGAAGGATGTTGCTACCAAGGCGCGTCAACGACACGTTAGGTCCGTCGCCAACGTGGCCTGGGCGAGAGCGCTAGGCGAGACCGGCGCGACTCGGCAAGCGGAAAGGGTAAAGAGGGGAAGGAGGAGGGGGAGGAGGAGGAGGAGACGGAGGAGTGTCAAGATGGGGAGGAAAGAGGAGGAAACGGAGGAGGGGGAGGTGGGAGAGGAGGGGGAGGAGGAGCAGGCGGAGAAGATGGCGATAAGGAAGCCTGGGCGAGCAGGCGGCAAGGGTCTTCGCGTGCGGTCAGGCCTTCGCGCAGCATGCGGACGCGCTGGCAGCCACTGAGCGCCGGCTGGAGAGGCCTCTGCGGAGAACCGCTGCACTTCCTTCTCTCCTTCCCCCGCCTCTCCTCTCTCCTCTTCAATTTATTTTCCTTCGGGGCAACTCCTGCCTGTCGCACCCCCGCACATGTCGGTGCGGCGTGCCGGGCGTTTCGCTTGAGACTTCCGCACCATTTCAGATCCTGAGGTTTGGATTCTGCAGCAGTTTCGCGGATGGAGGGCGGGTCGTTTCCCAAATGCGGTTATCACCTCAGCGCCTCGCGCATTCGTTTTACTCTTTTGTAACAGTTTCACGGATGGAGGGCGGGCCGTCTTCAAAATGCGGCTCTCGCTTAAGCTGCGCGCGCATTCGCTTTAATAGTTTGTAGCAGCTTCTAGGGGGGCGGTCCCGCTTCACAATGTGGCTTTCGCCTTAGCGTGAGTGAGGATCAATATGGCAAACGCGATCGGGGCCCTTAGGGAGGAAAGCTTCGGAAGTCATATGGGGAAGTCTCCAAGCGGTGCTTGGGCATTTCCACAATCTCCAAATAATTTCCCGCCTTTTGAAATATCAGGGGGAACTGGTGGGTTGAAGAGATTATCCAGGGACATCTTGAAAAGATCCCTGCGGTGCAAACATCTCCAGGAAGTCATTGGACAGTCGTTGGAACATCTCCGGCGTGCAGAAATCGTTCGGAAATCCGGCTGAACATTTACACATTATTGATGGGACATCTTTGGAACATCTTGTGACTCTTTTTTCTGATTTCGATGTTTCTGCTTTGACGCTACAATGTTAATTGGTATATCGTTGAAGCCACGGTGCCTAAGATGCGAAGTGTGTTTGGAAATTCGCGGGAAGAGTTGTTGAACGTGGGAGGTGTTCGGAGAGATTTGTTTTGAGATTCACCGGCGGACATGTTTGCCATAATCGACCCAAACTAAATTTTAGCGCCGCGCGAATTTGATATTGAATTGTGTAACAGCTTCTAGGATGGAGGGCGGTGCCTTTTCGAAATGTGCCTCTAACCCCAGCGACGCGCACATTCTTGTTTTAAGCCTGCACAGATTCAAGGATGTAGGGCGACTTTGTTTAAAATGTCGTTTCGCTTTAGCGCCGCGCGCATTTGTTTTAAAACTGCACAGCCGTTTCGAAGCTTCGCATGGTTGAAATCACAAGAAAAGGTGCCCTGGCACGACTGACGATTGTCAGGACGCAACAGTCACCCTGACCCGTTGTTTTGATGTCGCAGGAACTCCTCCTCCTCTTCCTCCTCCGCCTCCTTTTCCTCCTCCTCTTCTTTCTCCTTCTCCTCCTCCGCCTCCTCCTCCTCCGCCTCCTCCTCCTCCTCCTCCTCCCCCTCCTCCCAGCACCGTCTTGGCCCAAGCTCGTGCGCTGCTGGCCTCGCCGCATCTGTCCTGCTGGGTGCGACCGACGGACGCCGCGCCGCCCCGGAGGCTGCGCGCTGCGCCCTCCTGGCGGCCACCGCCGCCAGCGGCCTCGCGGCAGGGCAGCCCCACCCGCGCACGCGCCGAGGGCGCGGGTGGCCGAGGGCCTGCTGCGCGCCGCGGTGGCCGAGCTGGCGGCCCCGCTCGCGGCGCAGGCATCCCCCGCGGACGCGGCTGCGCTCGGCGCGCCGCCTCCGCAGGCGGCGCGGGCCTCGCGGCCGCAGGGGCCCGGCGCAGCGCGGGCGCAGCGGCCGCCGACGGCGGCGACGGCGGCGGCGTCGCGAAGCAGGACAAGCAGGAGGAGGACGAGCAGGAGGAGGAGCAGGAGGAGGACGAGGAGGAGGAGGAGGAGAAGGAGGAGGAGGAGGAGGAGGAGGAGGAGGAGGAGGAGGAGGTGCTGGCGCAACATCCCCTGCGCCGCGCCGGCAGCTGGCGACGGCTCGGCCGGTTCGGGCTCGGACGCGTCCTTGGAGGACGAGTGGGCCGACGACCTCCCCCCGCGGGTCGCGGTTGCGCCTACGGCGCCTGCACGCCCGGAGGCATCCCGAGGCGGTTTTAGGGGCAGCGGAAGCTCGGCGGCATCGGCTCGCGGCGCGTTCGCGGCGGCGCTGGCGTGGCAACGGCCAGCCTTCGGCAGTGTTCTGCTTCTCTCAGAAGTGCGTAGGACGCGGCGCTGCGCGCCCTGCAGCAGCTGTCGGCGGATGTTATTTCTCGGTCGCTGGCTCGCTTGTCGAGCTCTGCGTGGACCCGTTCGCGGTCGGGGGGCTCAGAACCAGTCAGGTCCAGCCTTGGCCCTCCGTGGTCGGGGGGTCCTGGATTAGTCAGCCTCCCGCGTGGCGGTGGAGCAGACCCGGGCCCCGCGCTGAAATCCAATGGTGGCGTCGCCCTCCAGTGTGTGTCTGTGTGTGCGTGCGCGTGTGTGCGTGGACCTGTTTGTTTTTCGACCCTGACCCTATGGATCTGCGTGAGGGGTGCCGCCGAATTTTAGAAATGTGGCAAATCCATTGTGTTTTTGGACCCTGACCCTTCGGATTTGCATGAGGGGTGCCGCCGAATGTAAGAAATGTAGCAAAACCCATGGTTTTTGGACC